GTACGTGGATACACAACAAATGGCGACGAAGATGAAAATTTTGTTTTGAGATAATTTGTTTAGTTGAGTGCTTGCGAGAATTTGGTAAACCATGGCCTCTTCAGGGAAGGCCACCCTGGAGCAGTTTTCTGGCGGGGACTTTGCGGAGTACCGGGAACGGCTTGAGTTTTATTTTCTCGCAAATGACATCGGTGTTGTTTCAGCCAGTGCAAACTCATCGGAGAAAGAACGCGTACGTAAGAAGATGATTGCACATCTAATCTCTTCACTGTCGAAAGACGTCTACTCCACTTTGCGGAACCTCTGTCTGCCGGAGTCAATATCGGACAAGACCTTCGAGCAGATTTGTGACCTACTGAATGGATATTACAGAGTGGAGCGTTCCACGATGACTTCTTCTTTTCAATTTCGCGATTGCAACCAGAGACCAGCGGAAAAGCTGGTAGATTACGCAAATCGTTTGAAACGTGCGGCAGTAGCCTGCGACTTTGGGTCGCATTTAGACAGATCCCTAAAAGATCAATTTATGGCAGGAGTCTACAGTCAGGAGATCAAGCGGACGATTCTGACTAGTCCTGACAGCAAGACGAAGAAGTTTCAGGATGTGCTGGATATCGCTTTACGGGAGGAGCGCGCCATCATGTTTGCTGAGCAGCTTACTCCAGGTACTACTACTAGTACTAGATCAACATCTACGCCGTCCGAGTCAGTCAACAAGATGAGAGCTACCACTACCAGTAAATCCAAGTCAGCAAGTGCATCTAGAAAGCCAAATCACTCGCAGGACCAGAAAGGGTCAAAGTCGACGAAGGGCAAGGTTTGTTATCGTTGTACATCTGATTTGCATATGGCTGACAAGTGTCCTCATCGATCTACTACTTGTCGATACTGCAAGAAACGAGGACATCTCGAAAGAGCCTGCATCACCAAGCAGAAACGAGGTGAAATTCACCACGTGGATGACGAACCTGATGATCGAGGTGAGATCGTTTCTGATTGTGATGTTGATGATATGCCTATCTACAAGATTCGATCGGGTAGTGGAAAACACCCTCCGTATACTGTAATGGCGGAAATCAATGATGTTTGTTCACCAATTTGCATGGAAATCGATACAGGTAGTGCTGTATCCATCATCACCAAATCTGATTACGAGAAATTGGGTGCACCAGTGTCGTCTCTTGTAACTCAATCAGTCCAGCTCATTGGGTTTTCCGGTTCCATCATCCCCTGTTTAGGTGAAGGGAAATTTCCAGTGTCAATAAATGGGCAAAAGCACACTGTTCTCTTGCGCATTGTCGATACAAAGGGTCCATCTCTGTTGGGCAGAGATCTTCTCTCACTTTTCAAACTAGAATGGAGGGAAATATTCTCGGTGAAGTCTGAAATTGATAATGCTCTTATACGCGCAAAGCTGCAGGAGGAAATGCTTCAGAAATTTGAGAGTTTGTTTGACACGTCAACTGTCGGCAAATTAAATTCAACTCAGGTCACTTTGCGTGTAAATGATTCAAAACCTGTGTACATGAAGGCTCGTTCAGTACCATTTGCAATCCGGGAGAAATACGAGCAAGGCCTCTCTAAACTGGAGGAGGAAGGTGTAATACGCAAAGTTGAATTTTCGAAATGGGCTTCACCTACGGTTCCGGTTCAAAAACCAGACGGAAATGTACGTATCTGTGCTGATTACTCGCGCACCATCAATGCTAATTCGGATTTAGAAAAATATCCGTTACCTACCATAGACGAAATTCGTGCCAAGTTGAATGGTGGGCAGAAGTTTACGAAGCTTGATTTATCTCAGGCGTACCACCAGCTAGAGCTTGATCCTAAGTCGAGGGGGTATACTACAATCAATACCCACCGTGGTCTGTTTGAATATGTACGTCTACCGTTTGGCATTCATTCAGCAGTCTCCATATTTCAGCGTACTATGGAGACTCTCCTGGCGGGTATCGATGGCTGCATTGTGTATGTAGATGATATTCTAGTCACAGGTCGAAATGATGCAGAGCACAAAAGAAATCTGGAAATGGTTTTGCAGCGGCTACAAGATGCGGGCATGCGTTTGAAAGCCACGAAAACCGAGTTCATGCTACCGCAAGTCTCGTACCTTGGTCATACTTTGAGTGCGAGTGGTATGGCGCCTTCGCCAGGAAGAATCGATGCTATGGTTAATGCCAATGCTCCTACGTCCGTCAGTGAGCTTCAATCGTTTATTGGGTCTGCGAATTATGTTCGCAAATTCATACCCAATTTTGCTCGGATTATGGCGCCACTTTACGCTCTGCTAAAGAAAGATACTGTTTGGAGATGGTCAGATTCTGAACAGACAGCGTTCCTTACGATAAAGAATGCTTTATGTTCCACGGAGGTTTTGGCGCACTATTCGGCGGGTCTGGAGCATGTCTTGCAATGCGACGCATCAGGAACGGGTCTTGGTGCGGTTCTTTTACAGAAAAACGAAAATGGTGATTACCAACCCATTTCGTATGCGTCTCGTCTGTTGAATAAAGCGGAGAGAAACTATTCAAATATTGAACGGGAGTCACTCGCTCTTGTGTTTGGTGCAACCAAATTTCGCCAATATCTCCTGGGAAAGAAATTTGTCCTTGAAACTGATCACAAACCTCTGGTGAAATTGTTCGGCATGCAGGAAGGTGTTCCGTTCCTGGTTTCTTCCAGATTAAAGAAATGGAAGTTATTACTTTCAGCGTATGACTACACCATCCAACACATTGCGGGAAAGGCAAATGTTCTGGCAGATTTCATGTCTAGAAAACCAATTTCTGGAAATCCTTCTACCCCGGAACTAGGTGAAACACGTGTACTTTTCATTGAGGACGAGCTCATTGATGCTCAAGTTGTATTGAATGCCACTGGAGATGATCCAGTTCTAGAGCGTGTTCGTCACTACACTTTGAATGGTTGGCCAGAGCATGTGAAAGAGGTGGAGTTACAGCCGTACTTTGTAAAGCGCTGGGAACTATCTATTGTAAATGATGTATTACTCTGGAATGAACGAGTGGTAATCCCCATGGCTTTGCGCGCGATGCTCTTGAGTGAATTGCACTCGGAACACACAGGCGCTGTACGAATGAAACGTATGGCACGTCGATATTTCTGGTGGCCAAAGATGGATGACGAAATTGAAGATACCACCAAAATGTGCGCTACGTGTCAAGAACAGGCACGCAAACCTAGTAAATCCTATGCTACCTGGTCATGGCCGTCGGGTCCATGGCGTCGTCTGCACATAGACTTTGCGGGTCCATTCATGGGCAAAATGTTTCTGGTGATTGTCGATGCGTATACGAAATATCTGGAAATTGTCCCGATGACACATGCCACATCAACGGGTACTATCAAAGCTTTGAGACGTTTGTTTGCCACATTCGGTCTACCCACTCACATCGTTAGTGATAATGGGACCCAGTTCACTAGTGCTGAATTTACCTCGTTTCTCCAGAAAAATGGAATCGCACACACTCGTTCAGCTCCAGGCCATCCGGAGACAAACGGTCTCGCTGAGCGATATGTCGGTCATTTTAAAGCTAAAATGAAAGCAATGGGAACAGAAGGTGACGACCTAGATACACGACTACAACGATTTCTAATGACATTTCGGTCAACTCCTACGGCGAATGGTAAATCACCGGCAGAAATGCTATTTAATCGCCAACCACGACTACGTTATGATGCTTTGAAAACAACACGGAATGCGGAGGCACAATCTTTCAATCAAAACCAGCATTTGCTACCAGAATACAAACCGGGTGATGCTGTGTTTGCGTTACGTTTTCAAAACCATGGTACAACCTGGGTCCCTGGTGTTGTTCTCTCTATCTGCAGTGCTATGAATTACTCTGTCCAGGTAAATGATGTGGTCTGGAAACGACACCGTAACCAACTCCGGCCACGTTCAATACCACTTTCTCAGTTAGCAGAACAGACACGTTCTGCACCACAGCAGCAACAACTCCAGCCGCAGCAGCAACAACTCCAGCCGCAGCAGCAGCAGCAACAACAACTGTCACCACAACAGCAACAGCCTCAGCCGCAGCAGCAGCAGGTGCCACAGCAGTTGCCGCCTCAGAAGGCTCAACAGCCGACGACTTCACAGCAGAAAGAGCAGCCCAGGCAACAGTCACAGGATGAGCAGGGTCAACAGTCGTTAGCTTCTACAGCCCCAGCTGATGCTGTACCTGTTGACCGGCAGGTGACTCGATCTGGTCGGTCAGTCGTAAGACCAGCTCGGTATAACGGATGAGACATTTTATACATGTAGGATATGTAATTATTATATTATTTGCATGGATTGATTGAGATGATCGTGAATGCATGTACGTGGTTCTCTTGTTGCATTTGTATATATCAGTATAATGCTCTGTATAGTACATACCACACATAGAACATTGAACTTTGATAATTGGCACGTCAGACGATGGTACATTATTACATTGTCTGTTCTATGCTATTGTTCCTTGTCATGAAAATGTTTTGTTTTCGGTGTTACCTCTTTTTGCGAGGGGGATATTGTTATATATGCACTCTGATGTAATATATTATGTACTCTGTATGCATTTGTATATACTCATTGCGCATGCTCTGAATCAGGGTCTTACTCTACATGTATCCATGCCGGCTGGTTGACTCTGGTGAGCTGCGTGTGAGACTGCATGTAGGGTGTACCTGGTGTACGTGGATACACAACAGTTGTGAAGCCTAAGAGCTTGTATTCCTCCCGCTAGTGCTGTCAGCTTGTAACACTTTCTGATATAAGTCCAAAGTGCTTCAGACACGTGCAAGTTGGCAGACACTACACAGGTATATCGAAATGTGTTATACAAGATCTAGCCACAGCCATTGATATGCCCCCCCCCCCCCCCCTCCCCGACACACCCACCCAGGGTTGCTTTGTTGATCGTAACGTTAGTGCCTACAAAAAATAGGTTGTGTTGGATAAGATGAGCAGATGAACTATGAGATAAGACCCGTACCTGATTGAATGGTGTAATCAGCTCTTCCTCTTTTCTGCATCACAAAATCACATACAGACCAGCCATGATTAGTTGATTGTCTATTGGAGCCCTTCACACAGCTCAACACCTGCCACGATAACTTACGAGTAGACTACCGGACTATGCAGGCAGGCACAGTGGGTCGATCTAAGACAACGCCTAAGACACTAGAGATACATGTACCTGGGGCAAGTCCTGCTTGGACGCGGGTAGATTTTCCAGCCGAGCTACGACCCACAGTTAATTGTGAACTTCAGGCCTGGCACAAGGATAACATGGATGCGGCAAATGGGATTTCAGCCTTTGGCCTCTGGTTGGTGGGTGTGACCTCCCCTCCCCCGCTGTTTAGGAGCTGCACCAGATGCCTGATCATGGGATGGGGGCGTCCCACGGAAGCGGGAAGTTGGTTCCTGATCCGTCCTGTACACAGATCCGTATTATTAATAATATAAATATCTTTACTTCAGAACAAGAGTGGAGTACGTGACAATCTGGCATTGTGTTAAGTTACTCACCCTCCATCAAAAAGTAAGCTTGCGGCGACGCTTGAGTTGCTCGAGCCTTTGGAGCTCTGTCGAAATATAAAGCTGCCTCGTCGAGTTCCTGCATGAGCTGACAAGTGAGTAGAGCTCTCCCTGGGTGTAGTGAGCAAAGAAAAAAAGACACCAAGTCAGTCGCACAATGGTGCATCGATGTTGCTGAACACGTGCCAGAATACTCCTGCCAATACAAAGTGCCAGTGTAATATAGCTACATAACCAACACACAGACAACATGACTGCTAGAATGTCATTATAGCTCTTATTATTGTTACATCATTAGCCGATCACCGTCATCAGCAGTTTCAACTGCAATTTAGAAATATAGCTGCATTAATTAAAAGACCATGAACAGTCCATGTATTATTTCATAAGGTGGTGAGCTGCAGATCTGGGAGGCTAACGTCGTACTTCGTCTTGGAAAGGTCACATTCGCTACCTATTGTCTCAGCACAAAATGAACACCTAAGATAGCAGAACACTACACACAGACTACATGTACAACTAGGAATGCAGCGACAGCAAGCAGGCGTCTGAAAGCTGAATGTTGCACTGGCACACGTTAAACGTCCAGGGCAGCCTACACGCATACCTTTCTAGAAATCGATCCACCCTTGCAACGAGGGAAAGCAAGGCAAGAAACCCGGTGACCGCATACAAACAGAGTAAAAAGAGATTCAGTGCTTGTAGTCGGTCCACTCAACTACACTAAACCACAGTAAATGTGACTGATCCTTCAGAGTGCAGGGAGCAGTTCGACTAAAGGAAACGAGACAGGTAGAGCCTGGTGCAGAAAGCAGCTCGAATAGCTTCTCGCAACTACAAATCTGCAATATGCCACTGCAAATCAACACTGCTAACCTATCCTAATCAACATAGTGCAGGGTATGAAGTATAGAGCCTGCGAGCCTGCATGTGTTCTACGCCTACTCTTTGCTTACATACCTGTAGTCTGGGTGCCAGGGATATATTCAAAAGACGGAATGCTCAAGGGATACAGTTTCTGTTCTGCTGCCCCCCCCCCCTTGCACACATGCATTTGATGCACGCCTACATGTCCGCAGGATGTGCTTAGTAGTGAACCCATGCTTTGTAATAGTTAGCAATTACTTTGAACGAGGGAAGGTGCTGTGCATCCGGGAGGCACCATCCAGAGACATGGAGTTGCTGGCGACTGGCGAAGCAGCGTCTTTACTAGCGCCTGCAGACTTCAGGGCCTTGGCCTCCTCAGAGTAGCGTCGGCGCTTTTCATGTAGGCTCTGAATGCTTCCGGTTCGCGATGATGATCTGCGACACAATCACATCAAATGCATCACACTTGAGCAGGACTCCTACAGTCTTGCAGTAGCCGGTGAGCGAGTCTGGGAAGAACGGATCCACCATCAGCGCCAGGTTTAGCCAAGCTCTATCGCTTCAACCTTGAAGCCAAATTGAAAAGTGGTGTCCAACAAGGCCACTGCGGCACTGGTTGGTCCAAAACACGCTGATCCACACAGCCTACGAGCTCGTATGTTTTCAGGTATTCGCTTACCAGACCTTCACAGTAAGGTGTTCATGATCTGAGAGCGTCAAGATCAAGATCAAAGTAACTGCACTGCATAGCTTCGACCGGTCAAAGACACCACTATAGCGACTCTGGAGGATATCGTCTTCCCAGACAAGCTGAACAATGTGCTTCAGAAAGTAAAATTTAGCTCTTGCCTCTTGGGCAATCAGATCCAGTGATATTGGCTGACGTCACTTATTTAGTGTGTTAAACAGAAGCCAGGTTCCAAACCGTCCAGTACAGTGCTCAATGCCGAAGAGCAGAACTACTTCCATTAACTTAGTAAATTAGTGTGTTATGGAAATCAAGTAAGCAGCTTAGCCGATTACACCAGTCAAGCTCAAAGTGGGGTGAGCTGGTTCACATATACATATACTTATACTACAATAGACTCCAAAGAAATCTAGACTGACTATAGTGTGTGTTAAAATGTGTAGACCATCAGACTTACAAATACAGGTACAATAACTTCAAATTTGGCATATGATCTTCAAGCAGACACACACATACAAACATACACACACACACACACACACACACACACACACACACACACACACACACACACACACACACACACTACAAACACACACACATGCACACACGCATGCACACACCCACGCGCACACACACACACTCTCTCTCTCCCTTGTAATTGCCTCCTTGTTCCTGGATGTGTTTGTCCATTTTGTCAGTAGACTGAAATAGAACTAAACCAACTGTAGTTACAAGTTCCCTGTCAGCCAAACAAATATAGACGGACGAAACAAGGCACAGGAAGACCGGACATATTGCTTACGATGATTCGATATCGGAGGCATCCGGGTCCATTGCTGGTTTGTTGAAGGTGATAGAAGGCGGAACCGGAGGTGCAGTTTCTCTGCAGTAGAGTACAGTACAGTGCAGCCGTGCATAATACTTGGAATGAATAATAAGATGTTACATGGGGTGTTGCACTGTGTCCATATTATGTAACCTCCGGCTGGGGCTGAATCGGCTGGGACGACGCGCCATTATTAACCCTTTTTGAACCACGAGGAGTTCTCTAGAAACAGTCCCTAGCCTTCATTTGTAAGAGGAACGAAAAATCCGTCTGCAATTCTTTTATTTTATTGAAGAGAAGCACGGCTCATCGATATGTGGACTATTTGTAGTCGTAAATTTGTACTTTCATGCTAACAAATTTGGAAAGTACCATCAGGGAAGCCTCCAGGCAAAGTTTTAGGAGGCCAACATAATCATTGCCAAAGTTACACTATGTGGAAACTTGTTTCGTACGCAGTGTGAAAACAGACCTCCTTCAGAGACTTATAACTTATTTTAAAATGAGTGAGTGACAGGTTGTTAAAGGGGAAGTTAAGGCAAAAATTAAAATTTCACCAGTTGTCGTCTTCGGGGTGCTGAGTCGAATGGTCTTGGTCCGAGAAAGCTGAGACGCTCCCTTCCTACTTGAATCCCAATCGAACTCGCGCACTTCCACCGAAACTGGGTGACTGCGCCCTACTAGATGGGGATTTGTATGCAAAATGTCACTAAAAGCGCCATTTCGTTCTTATTAAAGTACGGATGACCGCCATTGGCCCATATGTTGTAGTCTTTTGGACGCTGAGTCGACTGGTTTTGGTCCGAAAAGGCTGCGATGCAGCGTTCCTCCTTTATTCCCAATCGAACATGGTTGAACAAGCGGTCACGTGCTCCTGCGTACACCAGTCACCTGGTCACCGTGCCTGCAGGGTACAACTTACTAGCGTGTTTGACCTTTTTTGGGTGCAGTCCTGTCACTCGAGTTGAACTCGAGTTGAACCTTGGTGTGAAAGTCGCCTGCTGGCGTGGTGACCAGATGATTTGGGCACCCAGGAGCACGTGACCACTTGTTCAACCATGTTCGGTTGGGAATAAAGGGGGAACGCTGCACCGCAGCCTTTTCGGACCAAAACCAGTCGACTCAGCGTCCAAAAGACTACAACATATGGGCCAATCGCGGTCATCTGTGCTTTAATAAGAACGAAATGGCGCTTTCAGTGACATTTTGCATCCAAATCCCCATCTAGTAGGGCGCAGTCACCCAGTTTCGGTGGAAGTGCGCGAGTTCGATTGGGATTCAAGTAGGAAGGGAGCGTCTCAGCTTTCTCGGACCAAGACCATTCGACTCAGCACCCCGAAGACTACAACTGGTGAAATTTTAATTTTTGCCTTAACTTCCCCTTTAACCCTTTCACTGATGGCTTAGTTTCCATCGACGGATAGTCGTCCATTTTTGACTGGCCTGTCGGATAAGGGTTAAACATCTCCTTTTCGTCTCCCTCTATACACTTTATACTCTCCCTCCCAAACATGATTTCAAAAAAGCTTTTCTTCATGTGTGCTTATTACGCATGTACCACAGCTGTGCGTTCGTGGATGTAACGGACTGTGCTGTGTGATATACAGTCAACTTCGCTAATAACGACTGCGGATATAACGACAATTCGCTAATAACGACTGCAGATATAACGACAATTCGCTAATAACGACTGCAGATATAACGACAATTCGCGAATAGCGACAGAATTTCCGTGCCCAGAGCAAAGTCCCATCCCATTGTAATACATATAATGAGACTTCGGGTATAACGACACTTCGCGAATAAGGACACCTTTTTGATGCCCCGCCGAGTGTCGTTATAAGTAGGGAGTTCAGTCACGTGACAGCACGGTGAAAAATCTTCGTCACGCGTCATGCATGCATTTATGACGTGAGCATGGCACAAAAATGTGCCACGTGGAAATATTGATTTTTTTTTAGACTTGTAGTTTGTTGAAGAAGGAGATGACAGCCATTTGACAGAGGAGATTTTTAGCTTTCGTTTGGTGTCTCACTCGAGGTCACAGTCGTGAGATGGGACTTCCCACGTCTTGCCGTAAAACTTTGAACGCGATTTTGATGTTGTTCCTTTGAGCGTTGACGGACGGTGATTCTTCCATCGTGTTCCTCGTCCCAAAATTAGGTAAGAACGATCGTCTTTCTTCATCTAGTTTGCAGCGGTTCCAGGCGGTAAGGAATATTTGTCTGCTCTGTATTTCTCTACAGCGAGAATTTGAATATTTGAATTCTTCATGGCCGATGAGGAGGAGAATAGCCCTGGACCTGCATGTCGGAGGCTTGGTATTTATTCAAGCAAACTGAGAAATGCGTTGAAATCAGACGAAGCTCTTACCTGTTTGAAGACGAGTGATTTTCCTGTCACCAACGATGTCGTTCTGGAGCTACTTACATTCAAAAATGCCTCGAAGTTTTCGTTCAACGATATGTTGAAATGGACTGGTTCTCTGATAGGTTCCAGTACCAAAGATATTGCTGTTGGCACGTTTGCCTCTAGAGTCCGTTCTCTGCAGCAACGTCGAGCAAGGCTGCTGAAGGACAAAGCCAGCGATCAGATTGCTGTCCTACTGGCTGAGCCCTTTATACTACCCTCTCCATCATCCGGCCAGTCGGAGTCAGGTGAGCGTGATAGGGAAAGCACCTCCAGCACTGAAGTTGGTACAACAACTGAGCCTTTGGCAGCAGAGGTTTTCCAGGTGCAGAGAGAAGCTAAGGCACAGGAGGAATTAGTGGGATCTTTAAAGGAGAAAATGAAGGTTGGGCAAGGGAAGCTACGAAATGTTAAAAAGAAATTGGGACGTCGAGATGAGACAATCAGATCACTGGAGGCTAAGGTAGCTAGTTCAGTAGAGGCTGATATGGTTGAAGATGAGTATGATGAACAGGATGAACAGGGCAGTGAGGATGACATGCCTATGGTAGATGAGCTGAAGAGGAAGCTAGTTAACACGCAGCATAAAGTGTATTATTGGCAGAAGCGTGCGGGTGATTTAGATACTTCCAGAAGGGAACTAGAGCGTGAACTGCAGGAGAAGTCTTTGTTGTTGTCCAGAGCTGACGGCAGAATTAAGCAGTTGGAGTTGGAGGTTGATGACTTAGGTTCACAGCTGCATGAAGAATGTAGTGGCTCCATGATTACAACATTTTCTGGCAATGCGTACCTCCCAGAAGTAGTCAAGTGTTGTATGGAGTTGTTGGCATTGAATGTGGGCATATGGAATGTGAAATCGGTCATTGATTGTGTACTTCATAACCTAGTCAGCAAGAAAGTAGACAGACTCCCTAGTGTAGGAACTTTGTCTGGGATGCTGGTGCAGCTAAAATCAGTTAGTTCACAGCATGCAGCTGAAGTACTTTCTCAGGCAGAAAATACAACCTTGCACACTGATGGCACGAGTAAGTTTGGTCAGAAGTATGGTACCTACCAAATTGCCACTGAAAATCAAGTTTTTAGTGTGGGTATGGTAGATATGAAAAATGGCACGTCAGAGCACATCCTTGATAAGTTCAAGGAGGTTTTGTCCGACCTTCAGGATTCGTGCAAGGGTGTTGGCGAGTCTTGTGAAACTGGCAATAAGATTGTAGCGAACATCAAGAACACGATGAGTGACCGGTGTGTTGTACAAAGAAAGTTCAATGAGTTGTTACATGACTATCGAGAGAAGATTTTGCCTGATGTTGTTGCTAGCTGGGAGACATTGAGCAATGAGCAGCAAAGTTCATTTTCCAACATGAATAATTTCTTTTGTGGAATGCATTTCATTGTTGGCTTGGCCGACCAATCACAGATTGCAATGAGGAAATGGGAGGACATGCATTTTGGTGATCAGCCATTTGGTGCACATACTTTGCATGGTGTGTATGATACAGACGGGTCTCGGGTCTTCAGATTACTTCGCAATGCTGCAAATGCGTTTCAGAAACATGGGAATGAGCAGGCTGGGTGCATGCATGCCTTTCGTAGTTATGTGACTGACATGGGGGGAGTGGTGCCTTTGGCAGAGCAGAGAGGCAACCGCAGCTATGTTTGCTACTTCAATGGTGCTGGAGTGTATTACCTTCACGAGCTCATGACAACGTTCCTGCAGGATGTTCAGGCGGACCCCAACCAACTCCTCCGTGCTGTCAAGGCTGACCTTGCAATCCCAGAATTGTTATCTGGTGCAAGAGCCCTTGGAATTCTCTCCAAGCTCGTCATAATGCCATTGTGGAAGGCTTTGGAAAGCAAATCAATCTCCATCTCTGACATGTCCAACGTCTACAGTCAGCTCCAGAAGAAATTTGAGTACTGGACGAATGATTCTGCGGACCTCCTCGACGGCACCGCTCGGCCGTTCACAGATGCTTCAGTTTCCCTCACCGACCCCGTGCTCACTTACCTGCTGCAGCCCAGTCCGAGTGACACTACCACTGTTGAGATTTTGCAGATGTTATGCACCGTGTATGCTCGGTATACATCTAACCTACTCTCCGATCATCTGCCAGGCGGTGCGTTCCATAAACCTGACGAGGCAACCAGAGTGCAAACTGCCTCTGTCAGCAACACCAATGTCGTTTCTGAACGTGATTTCGCGCAACTGGATCGACTTATCCGAGAAAAGCTCAATTCAAGAACTATCGCGCTGGAGGGGATGATTATGTTTTCTAATAACAAAACCGCAGAATGGCTGACCAGTAAACCTGCCCAGGAACAAGCCGAAATCCTCCAAATGGCACGGCAGACAGCTCCAGCTATGCAGGAAGCCTTCAGGAAGCGCCAGAAGGAAATCCATGAGTACTGCGTTCAGCGACTTCGTGACAAAGCAAAGGAGATTGCAGAGAAGAGGGAGAAGGAGCTGAAGAGGAAAGAAGCTTTGACGAAAGATGTTGAGCGCTATGGTCTGTGGACATCCAGACAAGAAGTTGACGAAAAGGTTGCACTCCTGAGCACCATTGCAGCAAAGAAGGCGGCTTTGAAAGCGCAGCTGCAGTTCCGGAAAGTTGTCCTGAATCAGAAGGCATCAGGAGATCTCTTTGCCATGTCTAAGGGTGGAAAACAACATCCTGTTCAAACACTGATCAGCCATCTCTGCGAGCTACTGAATGTATCGAACACTGCCAGCTCAGGTGCTGCTGCACCCGGTCAGGAAGCAACTCCGCTTGACCCAACCGGCCACACCAGCAGCTCGGCTCATGTTGCAGGCAGTCAGCACGCAACTCCCCTGGAGCCAACCACTTACACCACCAGTCCGGCTGATGTGGACAGTCAGCGAGCAGCTTCGTCAGAGCCAGCCGCCAACACCACCACCTCGGCTGACAATGTAGATTGCGAGCTGGAGCCAACAGCAAAACGGCTCCGCGTTGAAAATGAATAATTTTATTGTCCAAAGACATGGTCAAAGACATGGTCAAGACAAGTTTGTGGTTATTGTGTTGACTGTTTTTATTGTCTTTTTTGTGTCTTCCCCTCTTCCAACTGTTCTCTTCACTTTTTTCCTGTTCCGTTGCTATGGTAACAATGCTAGAATTTCCCGTTAACACTGTTAACCTACATTCCATTTTTGTTTTACCACGCTTGTGCAACGTTTTCACTCCATATTGTCATCATTGATATGTTTCGTTGCGTTTCTGCAATGTTGCTAGGGGTTGCCATGGAAACAATACACGGCGACGTGCCGTCAGGTAGTTGTTGTACATAGAAATGTTTGTACATTATTGCTTATCATATAGGCCTGTCATTTGGGCTCTTTTCAGCGAACTTTTTGTTTTTGTCACTATGTCCCCTGGTCAACTTCCCCTGGGTCATGTTTGTCAGTTTGTGCCATGCGTGCTATACACGTTTACATACAATTCAACACAATTCTATGATGATTGGCACCACAATTGAAATGACTGTATCTCAGGTTTGCTTTGAGATTTTCACATGAAATTTTCTGTGTGCTCTTGAAAGACGTGCTTATTCGATTTCCAACAGAATTTTCCTGGGAATTCTGAATTTGATTTTTTTGCCTGAACTCCCTATTATAAGCGAAGTTGACTGTATGGTCAAAACCCAAGAAAAAGAATCACTGCTTGCAGGTGAGAAATCTAACGCAGTATATTGAAGCTGTTGTAATACAGTGCAGTGTGGATCCACTAGCAAGAAAACTTGGGTAAGTGGAGTGTCCTTGGACTTTTTCTGCTTATTCGAGGAAACATGGAGGAGGTTAAGCACATGATATCACTCATCAAGTTTCGAAGGCATGCAACCTCCTAGCTGGAAATCCAACCCAGAGGGTGATCTTCCTACCAAAGAAAAATGTCGAAAATGCAAACGGAAATAATGGGTCTGCAAAATTGCTACTTCCCCACTCGTTGAACCCAAATTGCACTTTGCAATGTATTTTGCCCCGTCCAACATTTGCTGAGAAGGAAGCAACTTACAATGGTTCTACTCGCTCGCACGTTGCCACAGGAGACGAAGACCGGCGTTCAGCATCGTGGTCCTCCATCATTACGTAGCCATCGTTTTCCTGGCCACTCACCACAACCGTTGGCAGACAAGAGACCCGCGGCCTAGCACCCGCTGGTCTGGTAGTCGGTGGTGACTGCAACACAAACAGGAATACACAAGAATACACAAGGCGAGACCGGCTGGCTCAGGACCCTTCCCTATGCTTGTTCACCACCATTGCTGAGCTTGCTGACGTCATCAGCCAAGCGATCAGCCATATGTGACGACAGCCAGTCGGTCACGTGATGATAGATCACATGCACGCACGCACACACACAAACGGGCACACACGCACAAACATACTAAATAAAGCGCTGTGGACCCTGGCTAGCGTCACAAGCTACTAATCGTAACATCTTCTGCATGGGCATGGGGACAATACAGTTACAGTCGCAGTCCTCCAAGCGACTGGGCACGTCGACTGGGCACGTCGATCATCAAAAGACCGAGACAGACGCACAGAAATGGTCCACTCGATCACTGCCAATCCATTTGCAGCCCAGACCACAAGCAAGCATTCACCCATGCTTGTGGACAACGTGCAAAATGACACCGAATCACAGAGCAAGCACATTGGTAGCCCTCCACCGGGAAGCCGTAATACTAATAGCCTCCTATTCCACCTTGCTGCTTAGCAAGCAACAGCAGAAAAAAGTAAGTAATGGCTTAGTTATACTTATAATTAATTTCATTGCAAAATCGCTGTGTCAGTAACAATTACATGGTCCGTGTCAGTGTGTGTGTGTGTGTGTGTGTGTGTGTGTGTGTGTGTGTGTGGTGTGTGCGTGTGTGTGTGTGTGCATGTGCGTACACATACACACGCGCGTGTGGAAAGATTTCACATCGAATCAATGCACTAGAACATGCACTCCGCTCCGCGGACGTGCACATAGCTCACAAGACTGTCCAGCTCGAATTTTCGCAACACACACAGATACAAGAACTGTTGGCGAAGAAGATTTGATTTCGTTGGGATAGCTAACCCACACACCCAGACTAGGAAACACGCCAGATCATGCATGCCAAAACGAATAATTGACCACAGGATGTACCCTTGCACCCTAAACCATAATCTCTCATGACACTAGCAGTACAAGTCCTACAGCTACCATACTATCCACCATCTAACGGTCAGGCCAGCACAGATACAGAGCCTAGCCACGCTAAACATCGTTAGCACGATTTTGCCGCCGGTTTCCTGGCACCCCTGGTGCAAAGTGCAAACTCACTGGCATGGTGGTGTCCGTGACAAACACCTGACACGAGTATGCCTGTATGGCAGTCAAAACTCAAAAACCATACGGAAATCGTCGGAATAGCCAGCATTCTGAAGAGTGAAGTTCATCCGTTGCTGCACGGCATAGTGCACCCTGCAGAGTAGACTCTACGGTACTGTCCTCTCGTGGCCGAACCTTGAACCGCGCATTCCATATCGACAGATTCCAATGGAAGCTAATAAGATAGCGCACGAAAGGACGTTTGCGTTCCCAAACTAGAGTAGAGGACAATGAAAGCGGACGCGCCTATCCCCTCCTACACGTGCACTACACGAGAAAGGTCTCTGCCCTTTCACTCGCAACTCCTAAGGAAAGAAAGACGACAGGCAAGCGCATGCTACATCACGTTGCTTGCGACGAAACAGCTATGAGATATTCATTTTTACACCTACTTTCCGTTTTTGCGCAGTGACAATAGTATACAGTATACAGCTACATGTAGTAGTAGTACTGTTGATTACCACGAACCAGCTTACTGCTTGAAACCGGCACTTGGATATCGTAAATAGCTGATAGAACGAGTTGCAGGAACGTACAAATCACAACACATTCCTTTCACTATTTCCTACGAACAAGAGCACCTCAGCTTGAGAAAACCTCCCTATTTGGAGGCTTCGAGACGCACACAGCCGAGACACCGAAATCATCACACGAATCTCGACAGCCATAGAACTACACGCTTCATTTTAGTCTCCCCAAGTCGAAATCAAAACGACAGCTATCGCAAGCAGCGCTAGCCGACACTACACTGCCTTTGCTACGAACGGCAATGTTACTCCAGTGCAACTACAGCACTACAAAAGTAACTGCTAGCATGCAAAAACGCTAAAAGTAAAACTATTGTTGATGCGGCAGAGAGATCAGGGAGATAGAGAGACATACCCTTGGCGAATCACGGTCGCCCGGATTCTCCGGAGTTCTCTTCCGCTTGAACGGGTTTCTCATCTTGAACATGTAGGTAAGCGACCACGGTTGTTGACTTGCGAGATTGGGTGCGCACAATCAGCTCAAGTAAATCTGTGCCTTGATGAACACGCAAATGCGGGCACTAATTTTGCAAGTCACGACGAGCAAACAGTGGATTACTGTCCGAGGTTTCTTCGACCACGTCCTGCTTGGGCGGAACTCCGTCAGCATGGACTGGTCTGCCTCGAAGCAAAGTCGCACAGCACAGTATGCAACGAACGTCGTACTGTGCGGACACTAGCGTGACTCCCGGTGCCGACACTCTGTGATGCCCTTCGCAGTTCGCTGGCTGTGCGCGCCGTACATCTACGATCAACATGTAGTCTAGGTCTACGTTCGATACGCTGTGTAGCAAGCCAGGTGGGACACACTACCAGCGGCGCTGGGAAAGTCTTCGAACACACTTCGGCCTCAACTCGCGACGTTGTACTTGTAGTGAACCGTGACTCTGCGTGCAGTGGTGGCCCCTGGAGGCACTAGTCGACTGGCTGGCCTCGGCAAAACGAGTAAAGCCCTTTCTCACCTTCAGGAAACAGGAAGCAATAACACTACTACCCGAGCAGCGCGCAAACCTGTTGTACTCGCCGCTATCGGGCAAAACGCTCCAACTCGAGCTACAAACGCTACCACAAACAAATAATTCGTACTAAGTCACAGCTCTCTACCCGGGTGACGGGAAGAGCAACAAGCTGCAGTTGAACAACGTGAACACGGCTACTACAGTCAGAACGAAGTGGCCTGGTGAAAAAACTCGCAAACCCAAAGGGGCGCTCCATCGGAAATGCGTGTTGCTAGCTGACAACGCAAGCACAATGACTTTATGTCAATGTGCGCTAGAGGCCCTGTAACTGACGCTACGTGGAATCCACTCCCGCGCACCATGCACCACCACTGGAGCGCGGGCTGACATACGGACATCGACCACGGGGTCACGCACACTGCACGCTAAAACAGACTGTCAGTAACACTACTGACAAGACTCAGTTGACACGACGTCATAATCATTTTGGACACACGTGCACAATGACTACGTGCACAGCAGATGCAGATAATTACTAGTACGTAGACATAATAATAGGTCATTGCAGTACAACTGGGTCTATCATCTATCGACAAGGCCATTTTAGCGGTGTCCAGATACAGTACTACAGTACTAGTAGTAGTAGTAGACTATCTTTTTGAATATACAGTACAGTTTTTAAGCATAATTAAAAAATTGGCTCACCATCCGAGTTAAATATACGGTACACACGGGATATTTTAGGATTATCGCAAACAGGAGGACCAACTGAGCGCGGTGAACATTCCTTATCGTAGATACATAACTACACTGCTGCTCAATGAAATCCAGTCGCGTCACTCAAGTACGCGCCGGGCGTTGCGCAGCCCTAGACCTGCGCGCTGCGAACACTGAGCTACGAAACGATGCAATGCGCAAACTTGAGTGAAGGGACTGGATTTTATTGAGCAGTAGCAGCAGCACTGTACAGTGTACAGTGTAGAGTGTAGTAAGAAAACATACACACAGAAAGGAACTATCAAAGGAAAAAAAAGGTCAGAACTGTGTTCTAGTTAGTGAAGGGATTACTAGCCTAAGTGAACGCTCCTATCTCTAGCCATGAACAGTTTTATGTTATTGTCAGGCTTAGGGAATAGCAAGGCTTATGTTATAGTGAGCTGGCACATCAATATGCAATACAATACATGGCACATAACTGACATAATTGTATGTCACAATGGCGCTCCTGGCTTACGGATTACAACTGTCTGGCACTAGACTGACCCACGATTGCTGTCCGGAGCACATCAGAAGCAGGTCGAACGTTCCGTTCGCAAATGTGACAGAGCACACACCGCTCCGGCATGCCTCAATACATTACACAGTCATTGTAGTTGCCAAGCGAAACGGGCCAGTCCGCATGCTTCTCCTGTGCAGTCTCAGGGCGGCAGTCGGGATCCAGTCAAGTGTAGGTCAGGGTAGAAACAGGCCCAGAGCCAGCTCCTGAGAGGTGGTACGGCCCCAGGTCGGCCGCAGGGCCGTTCATTACCCTATGCTTAGTTTCAGTATGGCGGGTCACGGTGGATGAACCCCTAGCGCTATGCCACACCGTATCTGGTTGCTTCGGCTACATATTCCACTAGCAACAGTTATATAGATAAGAGTAGAGCCCACGCGCTCTCTTCCATTAACACTGCAATAATTCAACTCATTTCACAATAATTATTACATCTTTTCGGCAAATAGCCTTCATCAGGTTCATGTGAACCTGATGAAGGCAATTTGCCGAACAGTTATATAGACAGCACAATAGTCGCCACTGGACACGAAGAGTAGTTCAGGAGGAAGAGACTCTATTATTAAGTGGTGTACGGCGAGAAGCGCTTTTAGCACATCCACATAGATTATTTCATGCTAGACATTCCACGGCCGTTGGAATTGGTATAAACTGGTACGGCCATGGCCGTACCAGTGGCGCCGGCCCTGAGTAAGCACAGGCTCTGGTGTTCAGAGCAGCCACCAAGTTCCTCAGGTATCACTACCTATTCACGATACCTTTTAAACTTCTGAACAGAGTACCATACAACTACAAGTAGCGGAAAATTCAACGCTTCCAATAGTCTCAGCTATGACAAAATGCAGAACCAGGTGTATGTCTTTTTTCTTTCTGCATGGACTATATACGTACAAGTAAGTCATCTGGGGTGCTAGTGCGTGTCCCAGAATCATGGAAGCAAACACCATAGTACCCCCGCCCCATCCTCACATGGACAATAGTACCCCCCCCCCCTCACATGGACAATAGTACCCCCTCCCCCTCACATGGATTCTTAGCACATGTACAACAGGGTCTAGCCAAGGGGCGGGGTGCAGCACTCCCTCCTAGCCAAGGGGCGGGGGTGCAGCACTCCCCCACTACAGTAGAATGCTGATCATCCGAACGTCAACTATCCGAACGATCAATTATCCGAAATGCCATTTTTCCACAATGACAATGAGTTTTCGCTCAATTTCCCCACCCGAAGCACCATTCAAGCGGTGCAAAAGATGTTTCGCAACAGGTTGGAGTGACAATGTATCACCGGAGAGTCATTTTTGAGGAGCTAGAATGTGTCTAGCTTCTGTAGAATTGTCGAACAGAATGAGAAATGATGGAAACATGCGAGATTGTGCAGGTCTTAGATGGATGTGTGACTGCTCCCTTGTCCAAACTTTCTCCTCATCCGAACAGCCCGCGCCCGAGGGGTGTGGATAATCGGCACTCTACTGTATGACGCCCCCCCCCCCCATCTGATAGCACCCCCTACATATTTTTCGATTTTTTGTGCTTTTTCAGTCCATACAACGAAAAGGCGACCACAGATCGATCGTTTCTGGTGCGTGCTGCACCCGTGCGTTACATTTTGCGTGACAAGGAAACACGTATATCGGATATATTAACCAAAGGATCAGTCGGGGAAATCCCCTACTATTTTTTCCTGGGTAAAAGTACCCACAGTATAGCATATATGCTCATGCAGACTAGTAAATCATCCAATCTGTTACGCATCATTCATTCCATACCACCCTGGCCGGCTAGTTAAACCCAGCAGTCATCCCGACATGTGACCATCAAGTCAGATGATCAGATTGCCCAAGGGTTATCCTGGTAAATACATGGACAGTCTTTGTAAGAGAAGTAGCTGCTGCTGCTACATGTACTTCAAGGAACACTGCGGCCCTGTTACCAGAGGGCAAACCCCCTTCAATACTGCCCTGTTACCAGAGGGCAAACCCCCTTCAATAAGCCCCTCTTATTCTCCTTCTCTCCCCCCCCCCTCCATACAGATGCCACGCTTGAAATTGTGGTGCAGAGATGCCAAGAGGCTGTTGTTTGCCAATTCAAGCCTAAAGCAACCCCCGATGTACAGTAGCCACACTGTAATGTACCCAGGACTGACCCGGTCGCAAGAGTCGTGCCAGGTACACGTGTACCGGTTGGTTAGAAATCCTAGAGCAGACACTGCTACCGTCAAGTACTGACTGCATTGTTACGGGTATATTTCTGCATTCACCTGCCTTTTTCCCATTGCTCGATAAACAAACAGATCAGCTGAGTTTGAAAGTGCCAATGGACTTGAAACCTTGTCATTCTGCAACACTTGTGCAGCAAACAAGCCAAGCGCACCGATTATGAGACTAGTAGGGATCCATCTCTAATCCTTCGCATTGTGGCATTAGCCATAATGCGATTCAAGACCATCAGGTGACACTGCTACCCTCACACACACGCGCGCCTGAGCATGGTGATACGCATCTTTCTCAGTGGAGTAAAACCTATTATAAGAGACCCAGATGTAGCACCCAGTCTTGAGAGACCGAAAGCCCAGGCACCAAGCATCCCAACCTGCCAACAAAGTCTTTCATAAAAGATCGGTTTTGTTTGCACCACCATCAGGAGAGGTCATTAATCACAGGTTCGACAGTAGGCACGTATGGTTGTGTATACTCTGACATGCACCTTTCTCTCTCTCTCTCTCTCTCTCTCTCTCTCTCTCTCTCTCTCTTTCTCTCTCTCTCTCTCTCTCTCTCTCTCTCTTTCTCTCTCTCTCTCTCTCTCTCTCTCTCTCTCTCTCTCTCTCTCTCTCTCTCTCCCTTTCTCTCCTTTTCCCTCCCTTTCTCTCCCTTTCTCTCCCTTTCTCTCCCTTTCTCTCCCTTTCTCTCCCTTTCTCTCCCTTTCTCTCCCTTTCTCTCTCTCTCTCTCTCTCTCTCTCTCTCTCTCTCTCTCTCTCTCTCTCTCTCTCTCTCTCTCTCTCTCTCTCTCTCTCTCTCTCTCTCTCTCTCTCTCTCTCTCTCTCTCTCTCTCTCTCTCTCTCTCTCTCTCTCTCTCTCTCTCTCTCTGTCTCTCTTGTGTCTCTCTCTGTGTCTCTCTCTCACGGTGTCTCTCTGTGTCTGTGTCTCTCTCTCTCCCTCTGTGTGTGTGTGTGTTTGTCTCTCTCTCTCCCTCCCTCTCTCTCTCTCTCTCTCTCTCTCTCTCTCTCTCTCTCTCTCTCTCTCTCTCTCTCTCTCTCTCTCTCTCTCTCTCTCTCTCTCTCTCTCTCTCTCTCTCTCTCTCGCGCGCGCACGCGCGCACGATCTCTCTCTCTCCCTTTCTCCCTCTCTCTATGTGTCTCTGTGTCTCTCTGTGTCGGTGTCTCTCTCTGTCTCTGTCTGTCTCTCTGTCTCGCGCGCGCAGTGGTCGCTTTCTCTCTCTCGCGTGCGCGGTGGTCTCTCTCTCTCTCTCTCTTTCTCTCTCGCGCGCGCGTGCGCACGCGCGGTGGTCTCTCTCTCGCGTGCGCGGTGGTCTCTCTCTCTCCCTCTCTGTCTCGCTTTCTCTGTCTGTCTGTCTGTCTCTCTCTCTCTCGCACGCGCGAGCGGTGGTCTCTCTCTCTCTCCGTCAGGTATAGGCAGCCCGTTTCTGAATGCACTAACTAATTACTTACACAACAGCTTGGTGACAATTCAATATCCAGGCTCATGATCACCAGTGTGGCTACAGCTAGCATGTACTTGTGTGGCTACCACCCATGCACAATACATTGGCTTTGTACCCTAGTGTCAACTGTGCAGACACATGGTGCTAGTATTGCAACTGCAGTGGGAGGCCATCACCCACTGACTCAGTCTAGTCGTATTCAGGCCAGCTGCATCCTAGTAGTATCCTGGTTTAATCCCTGTGAATGTAGCCATACAGCTTTACAGAATCAGTAGTACTTTCTTCAAGTAGTAGCTTCAAGAAACTGTTAGTGCGTTTATACATGACGTAGCCTGAGAGGATTACTAGTACTAGTAGTAGTTATACCGTTACGTTAGTGTCTGCATGCAACATGACCCGGCAGAATTGATTTGACACTTTCACTGTCCAGCCTCACAACAACACGTCTTGTGACTCTGACTCACGCCACGGCTATGGCCCTTGCCGTCAAAACATCCCCTGATTGGGCACCACTTGTGGAAATGGCAACAACCCTCACCATATCAGCTATACTCCTTTCTTGAGAATCTCCAATAGCTCTCACTGCCATGTATTTTGCCACAGACAACTTCAAGTGGAAGTCAGAGTAGCCCATATACAACTAGGGTTCAAAGTCAATGGGCTCAAGTAGAATCTCATGGCTGCAAAATACAGCCTGGCTAGCTAGGACTAGGAGAGCTTACAGGGCGTCCACCTGTCACACTGCTATCACAAGGCTGCATACCGACCATTATCTTCAGTCACTACGTAGCACCAACCATGGGGAGATTGACTTACAGATCTGCCTGCCTATTCCCTTTTGTTTATTGATTTTATTCCCCTGACGGTGTTTTTAATAGGAGGTAACCCTATCAGTCTGCCAGTACCCACCCATGACACCTCGTTGCATTTTATCGGCTCAGAACCCCTGTTATGGCTCAGAACCCCTGTTATCGCCGTGCCCATGCTAGAGTCTGCAAGCTGTGAGTCTTTGATACTAGTAGCTACCACGAGTCCCACTTCCACCTTGATTTGCCAATTATACCCTGGTGTCATCAGCTACAACAGCTACAAGAGAGAGAGGCAAGCGTCTATGCATGGGTAGCAGCTAGGGTGCTTGAGATGTAAAGGTATTTACACTCCACGGCAGCTACAGCTTAGGCTTAGGCTAGGCTTGCTTACTGCATCATTTATACTTGTACATATTAAAAGCAACACGTTATATGTTAGTCCATCATCTGGCAAAATACGCACAACAGCACAGAATGCTGTCCTAACTACAATGTAGCTACCACTAGTAGCCTACTACTAATACTACGGTGCCAGGCCAGAAGGAGAAGAGTCCAGGAGAAGAGCAGTGGGACACCGTGAACTTGAATTCATCACCACACAAAATAGTGGCATACCAAAGCTCAGTGGATAAGCCTGCAGGCACCTTGCATTCCTCTCCTTCAAACAATTTATACAGTCACATTGTATAAGTATTAGGACAGCTACAAAATTAATAATGTACAAGTATTTCCTATCACTCAGCAACTGCCAGTCTTAGTACTTGGAAGTACTGTAGTTGGTGCATATCCAGCAAAGAACGAAAAGAGCCTCAGCTAGGCTACAGCTGACAGGTACTACTTATGTCAAAGTTATGAGTTATAACAGGGGCGTCGGACACGTACAGTCACTACGGTATTGACCGTACCACTTTTTTGCCCCAGCTACCCTGGCCTGTGAATCAATAAAATACACTGATCTGGGCTCTATTAAAATTTCCAAAATGTTCGGCTCAGCGACCGTACCACACTAAAATACCTTCCGACGCCCCTGTATAACTAGTTAAAAGTTACTTATATGCGCCAGTTCAACTGCTGAACAACTACTACTACGTCGCTGATCAAGATTCTGGTACACATTATTTTCACGATGCAGCGACCACGGTGATTCAGAGCCTTGCCCTAGGCTAACGCCACGACAATGTCCAGTCCCTAGATCCCTCACCTTTGATTGAAGTCAAATATAGAAAAGTTGATCGTCAGCCCACCGCCTCCTGCTATTCCCACCGGTACTGTCAGCTGCTGATTTGCTCGACTGGCTCGTGAACACTACTGCTACTAGTACTAGCAACAGCGACGGGAGCACAGCTAGCTGAAACTGGCAAGAGACGGATCCAATGGCAATGCAAAGACGTGTCCACGTCCTGGCGCGAGATATTTATGCGCGGTATTGGCAGGGCGTCCAAGCATAGCACCCCAGCACTGAAGGGCTGCAGCGCTGGTACGACAACTGCAGAGTGCAGTACTACTACTACTAGCAGTAGGTGGATCTACTAGGTCGCGAGCGAGAAGCTAAGTTTTGACTCGGCCAATATCCGAGAAGCACTAGAAATGCTGTTACTCAAGTTGAGAGTCTGATATAACTAACTTGAAAACGGCATGCAAACTCACCGTAGAACTAGTACTGAACTACTCGTGTGCGAGTAAGAGGAACCATCCAGAGGCAAGGGTCTTCCTCTCCGCTACTTCGATGGAATAGTGCGAGTCTGGACAAAAATAACTAAAACCAAGGTTTTTGGTTGTAAACTGGAGAATGCCGGAATGGAGCTGCCTCTGGCACATGATCAGACGATCAGACGATCAGTAGATCTACAGCTTGAGCATGAGAGAGGGATGTGATGACAAGACAGTCTAGTCGCGCCCGCACTGGACCCATGCCTGGTTCAGGCTAGCAGTAGATCATGGGAGAGTTCGAATCGTAGATCTGACCTGTCTAGGCTGTCGAGCTGCCGGCGCGGCATTCACACGGATTTTAGGCTTAGCCTAGGAGCTAGGGTCGTAGGGAATAAAGTAGGGCTCAAACGGTTAGTCCGATTAAGTTAACCGGTACGGTTGCAGACCGGTTACGAAGAATTAACCGATAAAGATAACCTTGATAACAGTTACGCAGTAACTAATTACTTTTCACTCAATTTTAAGTACTACTAGTATCAGGTCGTTGCAAAGTATGCACTTTCGCAGGCTGTCGCACGCGTAGATCTACGCTCTGGGCTGTCAACTCGGTCATATCTGGTCTCTTGGTGTGAGAGTATTGTATGAATGAGCATGCAAGAGAATGTACATGTGTGCGTTGTACTGAATAGGGTACATTTTTTGAATGAGTGTAGTCAAATATACGGTTAAAAAAGAGTCCGCAGGATTGCCGTGGCATAGGAGCCCTAGATTAGCTAGAATAAAGCCAAGGAGTCGTGGGCTTTGAGCCTTTCACGACTCCATGCTTGTGCCACTATGCCTACATATTAGTAGTACTGTACTAGTAATGGTCGGAGATCCTATGCCTAGGCTATGGTAGTATGGGTGTGTATTTTGCCAATGCTAATGACCACCTTTGAACTGTTACTCACACAGTCACTATTACTAGTACTATGATTGTATTGTAGACATAGGCTATGGCTATGCGTAGATCTACGAAGCTGATGTTGAGAGTCCCGAATGAGTACAACCTACTGGCCAGATTATGTTTCAGCTTTAGAAGATACATGATTTGAGACCAACGCATATGGCCGATTGGTTTGCAGGCTTGCCTGCGAATCATGAGGTCCCGAGTTCGAGACCCGCGCTGGTAGCAGGGAGCGTGTAAAGACTTTTTACGTGAGTAAAGACTTTTTATGCGTGGTGAACTGCGCCGACACCCACGGTCAACTGGGTACTCACAGCTCGGAGTGAGGGTAACAAGGATGCAGTTTACAGGGTTATGGGCCGTTACACGCCCGATTGGTTGAGAGACTCACCTACTCTCCCCTGACTCACTTGTGAGGTCTGCATTCGCCACTAAGGTGTGCAAGGCATAGGCATAGTGGTGGCCTGCGGAAGCGAAGGCTAGTTTGTGTGTTTCTGAACATTCAAGCGATGCCAACGCGAATCCCGCGAATTATTATTATTATTATGATTCAGTCATGGAGGTGGAGTCGTGGTGTAGGTCTACGTGTAGTGGGGAACGATCTTTAGAAGTTTAGTCGGCACATGCAGTACTACTAGTACTACAATACATGTATGTCTTTTAAGACATGGTTAAAACCATGATAACGTCATGTAGTAGTAGTAGGCTGTGGAGTGTGGAGATGATCTACCAATACCATACCGGTAATTATTTAGAATGTCATGACTCATGATGAAGTAAGCATTATCGGTAAATGCGAAGTAAGTTGTTTATTATGTACTTCGAAGTACTCTTTTGCTTACATGTATGTCTAATATCTGAGTAATGATGTGGTAGAAATAGTACTACTAGAAGCAAGAGATACGCTCCCTGGCCTGGGAGTGGGAGCTTGGCAGTAACCTACTGCATCATCTGTTACTGTGCCTACAACGCAAGCTGCGGATCCTCAACTCGACTCGAGGCCCGACGGTGGGCCGAGACGGCGAGAGCAAGCTCGTGTGGGTCAGCAGATGTACAAGGATTCCGCTGGTACATGTGTATGGCTTTTCCTCTTTGTCTTTGACTTCAACAGACGAAGTAACTACAATACATGTACATTTTCGTTGATCGGTTGACAGCATGTTTCAAGGCGGAGGACGCACAGTGTCGAAGACAGTGCTCCTTGTTACCATCATTGGTTGACACCGCTCCGGTCTTGCGGACTTGTACTTTGTAGCATAAAGCCTAGTCGGCAGTAAAGCCTAAGTACTAGTAATCCTAAGACAATGTTTTACCTTCAGCATACATGTACTACAGGAGATTTGCTGCTTTATCCTGGTGTTTCTGGAACGACATGAGAGAACGGCAGTTCGTTGTCTTTGTGGTCCACTTCACAACAATAACACACACACAGAAGTCTCTGCTGTGAGCACGGTGGCTCGGCAATGACTTTATTATTGATATTATTATATCTCCTTCCTGATATTTTTTCTTTTTTCTTTTTTTTCTTTCTTTCTTTTTGGAATAATTGTACGCATAGGGCCTGATATCATAAGAAAAATTAGCACAAGACACTGCTGCTACTATAGTCGCACAGCAAAACACACAGAAAACGACAAAATGTTACAATGAATGTAACAACACCCGTCCAAGCTAAAGGACCGACATCCCTGCCCCAGGACGGCATCTCGAACCCCCCACACACTCACCACACGGTCATCATCCAGCTTCAGTTCAATCACTGTATTCTTCCCCTGCAGACTCAACCCCCCTGTCACTAGCCATACAATCTGAAGCTGTATGTAACCATACAATGGCCCACGACGCACACACCACCCCTACGTCTTTTAACTAAAAAAGAAAAGCAGTCGTAACTGCAACAGCCACATGGCCAATAAGAAAAACCAATACGATAATATATCGATAAACACACACCCAGAAGTCAGGGGTGGGAGGGTGGGATACAAACTGCACCAACGAAAAGCCACTGCGAAGTGACAGGAATGCGGTCCAGCACAACATTTTTGCGGACGCAAAAAGTTGTGGGGAAATCCCAAAATCGGTGCGATTTTGCATGAGCCCAAATGTTCAGGTTACCCACAAAGACACAAGCTTTCCAACTCTCTTTGGCCGTTGGAAAGCGTACCGATTCATACCATACGATGTACTTCGAAGTACTAGTACATGTACATGTACATGTACATGTACATGCAAATATGGCGTAGCGTGAGTCACAGCCATACACCCTGACCACATTTACCCCTTCTTTTCCCAATAACAACCAATGCTGCCTCCTTCGCCTAGCCTTAGTAGTATTCTTGCAACTAACGTCACCTGACTTTTCGTATGCAAGTACATGATGGTCAGACTCGGTATTGTAACTATTGTTGCACGGCTAGACAACCCCACTCAAATACGTCCACAGACACAAACCTTACAACGGGACTTTCACGCGGGTCAACCCCTAGACACCACAAAGTACTAGCACACTACTGATAATCTTGCACATTATAATAATAAATAATAATACATGTATGTCATGTAGATTGATAGTGATTCGTGACTATCGGGGATGGAAAAGGCTCACAGTAACGATACGAACAGAAAGATACCATCATCTTGATCTGGGCACTCACTCGCACAGCCAGCTCTCGCGGTTACAGAGACACAAAGCCGAAACTACATGATTGTACATGGTATTACATGTATATAACCCAATACTAGTTCAAAACTAGTATTAGATAAACCTTGTTATAGTTCACACATGTTGTTAGACTGACAGCATGAAACAAGGTGGAGGACACTGTGTTCGGAAACAGTGACCTAAGTCCTTACTACAACCTTCCGCGGTTGGCAGAGCCCCAGTCCCTTCGGACCATTTGAACCATAATGGATGTTGAACCCAGTTTTGACCCTCATTATGCTAGGGGAGTTTTAGACTTCTCCTTACGTCCGTCACTGTTTAGAACACAGTGTCCTCCACCTTGTTTCATGCTGTCAATCTAACAACATGATTGTACATGTACATGTAGGAAAAGGCCCAATAGTGAGCAAATCAATGAGGAAATCATGTAGGAAAAGGCCCAATATTGTTGGACACTGGGAATGCTTACAGTACCTTGAATGCAGCAGGAGCGGGTGTTCCGTTGCTGGAGCCATCTTCCGGTTGTTCGGTAGCGAGATTCTCCGACATTGTAACTGTCGCCCAATGCTGATGGATTTTGGTCTGCGTACCGGTATAATGCTAATAATTATTGATGACTGTCGTCCACAGTCAATTTCTGCAATGACTATGTAACTGTTATACCAGCACACAAGTACAATGTACAAATGTAGGTTGGGAAGTGCTGCTGGCTACGCTCCGTGACTGCTAGATCCGAACTTTATAACTCCCTGTGATGTGAACTAACTAACTTCCGAGGTGAAAACATTGCCACCCTATCATCACTTGCCCAGCTCATGGAGCTCGAAGTTCGAACTGATTCGAAATGAATGGAGAGAAGCGTGTCTTATCTGGATGTTCAAGGCTGCTGAAGGCTCGTGCTAACACAAGTTGAAGACGGCCCGAACTGTGAGGACTAACGATAGGTTTCACCTGTGTCAGTGTGTGTATGGCCTAGAGTCCAGTAGGGAGCGCTGCTGAGGTTTGCTAAGGCTACAGTGCACGGGTGCGATCTGCCACACCATGACTTGATAAGTATAACATAACTAGAGACATTTCAGGAGGCGTGTAGCTGGTAGCAGACTGTCCCAACAAGACCCAAGGCAATCTTCGGGTACTACTAGTACTAGTACTGGTAGGTGGTACGGCGGCAGCTCGGTCATGCAGCTAATACTGTAATAGGACGCATTTACCCAATGTTTTATAACCCAAAATAGACACTAAGACTAGTAAGATAGGACTTGCTAAACCAGTGGCAGTGGCTTCTTATCTCAGTACTGTTTGCGTAGTGATGCCTGGCCTTGGCTTGACCTTGCCAACCTCACGTCCTAGATCCTCAGGCTCAGGACAGTATCTTACGTAGTGGTAAGGCCAAGACTACAGACAGTACAGTACAATCATGTAGGTCAATGACGATAGGTGAGTGCAGTTGTGACGTTGACAGTTGGGAAGGCATGGGTGTCGACAGATTGTCGTCTGTGACCTGTCCAAGCTGGATGTCCTCAGGCCTGTAAGGTCAGGCAGGTCATAGCAGCAGTTGGCAGCAGCATGACTGCCTGGCTAGTCTCTCCAGGCTCATACTTGAAAAGTCATAGACATTGACAGGATCATTCCAAGACTTACATAGTCATTGTACTACTGTAGTGTAGGTCCTAGATCCTCTCCTAGATCCTCTCCTAGATCCTCTCCTAGATCCTCTCCTAGATCCTCTCCTAGATCCTCTCCTAGATCCTCTCCTAGATCCTCTCCTAGATCCTCTCGCCGTCTTGGAGTCAGAGCATTTTGTTTGTGTGTGTTTGTACATGTATGTGGGCGTGTGCGTGCGCGCGCGCGTGTGTCCCATATGGTGCAGTGGTATGTGCAGCGATTTCCAATCGAGAGGTTGCGGGTTCCCGACGATTATGGTCGCACATGTCTGTCTTTCTTCTCTTTCTCATTCTCCTAGTCC